TAAATTCTGTTGTATAAACTACGACATGCCGACGATTCATTTACTTGCAGTAATGTTGGGTCATCCTGTATGTGTCTAATTTCAATTAATTAATTTGAGTTGAATACAATCCCGATCATTTAGTATGAATTTGAAGTCATTGTTGATTTTATTTAGAATTATTTACTTAATGATGTCTAATTTTGTATAAATAATAGAATTTTGGTTTTATTTTATTCTTCATTTAGAAAAAAAAATGCACGTTTGGAAATTTGTTGTCGCTGCATAAGCTAATTAGTTTGAAGATAAGCACGTTTCGGCGGAAAGAAAACGCAGATATTTAATTTCGAAAACGCAAATTCAAGTAGAGGAGAGACGGATACTGGGAGAGGGAAGAATGTTTTATATAGCAGAGAAAGACATGCACCGTTGCTTTTTTTATGGTGGACGCTGAAATTTAGCCGCTTATGATTTTGATGTTTTGCGCACTTTTTTACTGTAATTTTTTCGGATATATCATTCTTTATTCTCTCTGCGTTTGCTAATGTTGCCTGTATCATATTCTTTAACTTTCCGCTTATTTCCAACTCCGTGAGTGCTTCGTACATTTCTTTTCTTTATCGTAGGCTTTTTTAAAGTCAATTTTAGCTTTTACGAAATCGATAAACGGTATATATCCACCTATCGGTAACTGATTTCTACATCAAACGCTTTATTCGAAATAATTTAGTTCAATGCACTGAAAAATTAAATTTTAATTTACAAGTTCTACATAAAACGTAAAACGTAATCAATGGTCAATTGAAACAAATATTTACAGAAATATATTGGTTTTACCTTTATTTATTTCAAATGCTGAAATTGCTTTTCAGTCCTCAATACTAGCTATAAGCCGAGGGTAAATCACTAATTGCGTCCCTAGTTACAATACGAGTCTGTAATAGGTAACTATGTCATATTATATTGAGCATCGTGTGAATTACCGAAACCGAAATCGGTAGTGGTTCTAAGTGAATGGTCTTGTAATAAAAGTAAGGATTTAATTCACGTTAACTTATTAATATGCAAATTTTGAGAGCTTCTCTTGAACAACCCAATACAGGCAAAACAACACTCACCCCGAATTTAATAAACAACATTTCGCTGTACTTGAAAAATATGGAAGGCACAGGCCTAAACTCATTTCGTGTTCAAAGTTAGGTATGCGTAAACCTCTTTCTATTATGTGTATGTTATTGTGTACAATTTCTAAGCTCTAATTTTTCTGTTTTTAGTGAGGCAACTTTGTCGAAACTATTAGTAACGTTTCATTGCAAAAATTTTCTTCCTTTCAACAAGCAGTAGTTATTAACTTTATTAGCCAACGTCTGTTAAATTTTAAAGAAATTTGGGGTGCCTATAGGGTGATATGGGGAAGCGAAAACGTCCTATTTTGGTTTTGCTTCATAACCATCTTCATGGTTGTTGAATGTTGATAGTGTCAAAAGTTTAAAATAGCCATAACGGCTTGACAAAATTTGTTTTAGTTTTTTTCGCATACATTGGCCAAAATGGCTTAAAAAACTCTACAAAAAAGTTCATTACAATTTTTTGAGAGTTCCTTTGTTTTTGAGAAGTTGAATTACAAAAAAGATGTGTCTTGATGAGATCTAAAAAAAAGGCTTCTATACTTTTTTAGTCGGCTTCAAAATAAAGGCGGTAGAGAGCACTTTCTAAATGTTATACTATGACCAAGGATAATTGCAATGTCTATTAAAAGTAGTCCGAAAGTCAAGGAGTTTACCTGACAACTAGTTTCTAATCAGTCATTATTTTTAAGTAAACTTTTACTGCCCAAAAAATTGTTTTATGGTTTCAGGTAACAAGTTGCTCCTGGGATCCAAATTTTGGAACCATCGAATTCAACTGTACTTGGTGCACCTCTCACTAGTGAAGCAATTAAAACAATCCTTCGGAAGAAAGCACAAGATTTCAAAACACTGCCTTTTTTGGGGCCCGAAAAAAAAATTGTCTCAGATCGACTCGGAAAATAATTTTCTTATAGAATGTGGCCTGTAGAATCCATAATTTCAAACAGTTCCAAGAGGGGGTACTAGTTTGAAAGTTACAGCCCTTTGAACTTTCTTTCGAAATTGGTTTCTAGCCTATAACTTTTGATTGAGAAGTCTGATCGAAAAAGTACGAATTGTTTTGGATTCTACGCACCAAAATTAATAAGAAAAAGTGTTTGTCCCGAAAAATTTTGGTGAAGTCGATTTTTGGTAAAAAAGGAAGGTTTATACACTGATTTTCAACTGACTCTCATCACGTCTTTTCTTACTCCCTTCGGACTGCGCTTTCTTCTTACTTCGAGCATCCATATCCTTACTTTCTTCGATGTTCACCTTCTTGGAAACCCACAAACACCTTGAAGAATTATGATAAAACTCTCTTGAAGAAATCCTAAATATTCGCCTTTCCGATAATATTTGGCTACAAAGTGGATTACCTGTAATAGATGACGGATCAGGAGTTCCATATGCCATTGATATGGTATTTAAGTTTCTCCTGCGCATCAATCCTGAGGAAAATAATTCCACCGCACACTGACATTATAGACACAGATGTTAACAATACTATTGACTGTCTTTAAATGTCACTTTACTGACGAGTTTTGTATTAAATTTGACCGGAAATCGTATTTTAATATAAAATTTCAATCTTTATATATAACTTTTGGTTAATGTCAATCTGTCAGTGATGACAAGAGTCGCTATAGACGTTTAGCAATGTCACAGATGCGGCCGGTAAAGTGACAGGTGGCGGAAAAGTAGTCTGATCTGTCTCTGTCATGGAAACCAAACTTTCCTGACAGAAAGTAGGCATGAAAATGAAGGTTTCAGGACGATTTTGGGTAAAAGTTTATTTTTATAAACAATAGTGATATGACGTGACGACACGTTGACAATTAGCAAATCTCTCTATATTTTTTTTAACCAAATGCCATCTTTAATTACATTCTACATTCATAACAATGTAGCAACGTNAAAAAATTAATTTTTGTAATGAATAATTTCATTGGGCGGCACGAAATCGATTAAAGAGTGTGTAAGAGTGGAAGGGAGCAAGCTAATACGTTTGCTTTTAGGAAGTTAACTTCCGCAGGAATAAATGCATATAAAATTAGCCTACTTATTTGAAGTTTTCACCGAATTTACCAAGAGAAGAGAATAAATCGTTTATACAAGCCACCAAATGTTTGACGCGGTAAATGGATGTGCTCGTAGTGTTATTGTAATAAAGTAATGAAAACCATAACAGATTATGTCAACATCTTCATGCGGAATCCCTGTACCTCAATGTTACAAGGAGACACATCACGCTAAGAATATTGGTATCATTCAACCTGCATTATTTAGTGTTCGGAATACTTGGATACGTATACGTCAACAGTGCCGAACTTGATGCGCCCAAAATATTTATAAGGCTTATGTATAGTAATGTGTGACTGACTAAGTATGGTTCACTGACGAATCGGGATTGGACTAATTGTGGAATTAAATTATTATAACCGACATAAATTTATAATCGAATTTTACAAACTGGAAAGGCGGCTACTGCATTAAAAATTAAGAGCAATTCGTATCATATACCTATAGTAGGGGAGCTAACACGAAATCCACTGAACGAGAATGATCAAAATTTTAACCGATGCAGTTCCATTTTGCCCTATCAGAGTATGCTAAAATCGATCGTCTGCCACCTCAGGTCATACGACTTAAGGCGCTGCGGGTACTTTTTGTGGTACCAATTCTGAAAGGTTGTTTTTCGAGAAAATAAGTTATACACCAAATGAAAACGTTGATAATAGCTCTTAAAAAAATATTTAAAAAAATCGCGCACACTTGATAACTCCGTAAAAAAACAATTCTTAGTCGGTTTTTCACGAAATTTCTACGGATATAACAAGGTTACGGTTGGAAGAATGAAGCTGATTTTTTTTACAAACTGATGATAGGTACTACTAATGACTTAACGGTGTTTCGTTTTTAAATTTTTTCTCTAAGTACAAGATTATCTTATTATCTTAACATTATAAGATATCTTATAATTAGAGAAAAAATTTAAAAAAGAAACACTCTCGTAGTCATTGGCTGTACCTATCATTAGTCTGTAAAAAAATCTCCTACTACTACTGTTGCCATTATTATTAATCTTAAAAATTACGAATCAAATCTCTTTTAATAACGCTACCAGGTGTAACGCAACTCAAGCGAAGTAATGATGCATATTCTCTAATCATATGATCTTGTTCACATAGAAGATGGTACAAACTAATATGGCTTTTCTATGCTGTTTATGTCTGATTTCGGAGCATGTGTCTTTATAGTAGGCCTACTTGTTCCGAGTAAAGGATACTAGAGATCGTGAAAGCCATTAATGACGTTATGCTTTACCATAAGCAAGTATGCCAATTTTAATATAAGCTATTAGCACTTACACATTATTCGAATTCTTGTCGTATTCGCACAAACGTACGGATTTCAATGCTCCGAATTGCCCCTATATCAGGAAGCTGACAGGACAGTCTTTGCAATTGCAGTGAAGTTAGATTTATTTGTTGTCACAAAGAACCGTAAGGAATTTCCCCTTTCGAGTTGGGCCAATATACTTGACATACTGACATCAGAATTCCTGCTGGTGTAGATTTTATCTTGTAAAACACATAACCTAACTTTATAAAGCTATATTGTCTTTTAGACCGTAATTGGTCTCTACTTCTACAAGTGACGACGTGTTACATTTTCCAAAGGATAAAGAGAAGCCGTTCTACCTTGTAAGTCGCTAACGCTTTAAATAAATATTGCGTTGAGATCCCCGCGCGCTTTTCCTCTTTGATTATCCCTGATAAGAGTCTTTTCCACGTAATTATATATAAATGAGATACATCCAGAAAAATTCGACGCAATTTAAACGAATCTTCATGTGATTCCCGCAAGCGCAGGGCTGCGATGCTTTACTAGTCGTCTCGACGCCGCGCTACTGTAAGCGTGTTTATTAAATGCCCTAGTGAACGATTATCGTAATACCGTTAGTCGACATACTGTAACGCTGTTTTACAGATATTAGTTAAAAGTACAGAATTCGCGTGTTATTCCAATCCACTTGGAATTTCCGATCCAAAGCACCTTTGCGGTGTGGAATTAGTGTTATTAGTAAAATTTCCATAGCTTCTCGCGTTGACATGACAACTTCTATCTGAATTTGCCTTCCTCAAAAATAATTACGAAGCATAAAAAAAGCAAAACGTCCTTAGCTAAAGAGAACAGGTTGTTACATGCTTTCAATTTATATTCTCTGTTGAAATATCGGTATTGAAATTGTCCTTTTTAATTAAATCTGCAAATGCACGTTTCTTTTCCATACAACGCTACACGAATGGTCTTTGTAACATATTATTGCCTTTTTTTATTATCTCGGCTTGATGCGCCACACTTCAACATGCAATCTGCACGTTAGTGCATTTTGCTGATATGAATTACAGAAAAAAGTAATTTTACGAAACTTGTTTTTAGATTCGGCGGCTTATATAAATAACTCGTTTAGATATGTGACCCCCTGATAATAGAATCTCGACATGTGATCCTTGAAGGAAATAACTGCAAAGTGATCTGTGATGGCGCAACCCAATTTTAGGTTTCTGCATCAAGTGTAGTTGAAATCCTTCTCACAATGAAGATCAAGTTCGTACTTCTGATTGCTATGGTGATTTTGTACGTCGTTGGAGACGACCACTTCATCCACACAGGTGACTAGATTTTTCTTTATTGGTAACGTGTGTGACATTGTGCTACTGTTGAAGCCGGAATTAATCAGAAAGCTGCTGATTTGCTGTAGGTTGGCAGAACACGACCCGTCAGAATTATTTATCTCCCACTTGAAGATAATAATGATTGATTATCGTGTCTCTTTCTTGTGCCGCCTTAAGAAAGTTTTTGACAATTTTTCTTCTTTCTTAGGGCAATTTCGTGAACGAACACTATTTACACACCAATTAAGACAGATGCATTTATCTATACGTACATGTATAAAAGCTCTTTGGGATTTTACTTTTGACCCCACCTTATACTGACATTTTCCTTTAATGCTTATCCCCTAACTCCCTCGGTGAACGTATTTCCCGTAATCATTTCTGTAAATATAGAAATACATCAATTACCGCAAAATACCACCTGAAAGTTTCTAAACGTCAAAGTTTGCGTTTAAAGTTATTTACCTAAAGCTGTTAAACCCGGATAATCTGCAATAATTCAAAAATGCTTTGGAATAACTCAGAAACGGCTAATGTTCCTCTGTTGTTAATTAGTAAGTTTACGCAAATATGTTTGAGATAATGACTACACAAAACTGCTTTCAAACGGAATTTTTTTGTTTCTGAGTTGCAGTGAAAAGGAAAGAAATGTATTTTATGTGAATTGCGAAACGCAGCTCCAAAGCTACACCCTAATTAAAGATAGATACTTTTGTTTCTTCTAGCTCATCTCAAATTATTTGTTTTTTTCGGTAGGTGAACTGAGGTTCTGCGTGTAGTTAAATAAAAACCACCGCTGACTGGTGCCAAGCGGTAGTGTATAGATTCCACGGGGAGCGTTTTATGCAATTTCAAATTTAACACGTCCTTTTACACTTACCGGATATTAAGAAATTAGGACTTTTTCGATCGGCTCGACTATTAGCATCTACCTGCCGATACTACCAATAGAAATGCCTTGCTTTTTATTTGACGTTGATGGATAGCACAAAGTAGCGAAATTACCACAACGACGCTTGTTCCCTGTCATATTTAATCTTTTAGGCATTAGAAGTAAATTGAATGCGAAAGGCGCAAATAAATTGTATATTTCAAACTTTATAATCAAACTCTGAAATATTCAGTTTGAAAGGTCTGCTTTCAAAAACATAAATTCGTGAGCTAAATCAAGTTTATATACAACTAGAGTGTAAAATGTAACCATAATTACCATTCGTTGCTTGGTAATTGTCATTTAGAAATCTCGAGTTAACCGAGTAGTTTTTGTTGATGTATAGTAAAAGCATTATGTTATTGACAAGTACAATCAGGTACCTACAGGTGTTTTCACAAAACGGGTAATAGTAACTTTGGTATTTATTATAAATAATAGAAATTGCTTGAGAGCTCTCCACTTTATTTAATTTAAACATAAGCCAAAATTAAACATTTTATCCATAATGTTTTGTTGAATTTTGTACATTGAATGTAGTTCACATAAAGTTTACAAGATATACACTGCAAATGAAAATTCAGATTGTTTTTCAAAGGAATTTTGTTGCTAATTGGTCGCACAGAAAAAAATGTATATCCCTCTACCATATTGTTTAAACACTGATCTTATATAATGATCTTTAACTAGAAAGAGTGGATGTCGTTGGGGCTATTGGGGAGTAAGTTATCCTGTGGTAAAATTAGACGACAGCTCAAATACTGATGTAATCGGGACATTTGAAGGGATGCAGTCTCACATTAAAACAAAGAATAACTTACTCTCCTAGTCTTCATGAGCTTAGCTTAATAAAATGAAACTGATTGTAGAGATTGTTGTCTGTTTCTCATTTTTGAAAAATCGTTATTCCATACTGTGTAGTAAAATAATCACGTACGTCGATTATTCAATAATCGAATCGTCGACAATCTAGAACAAAATTGGGCCCAACTACATATTCCTACGACGTGATCGAATTGCCATCAGTATAGTTGCTTATCTTGTTGCGAATTTACCATTGCGACGAACTTCGGTAGTTCACACACCAACGGTGAGCTTTAGAATTTAAGGGAAAGTTAATAAATAATGAACTTTTATTAAGAAGAAAAAAAGAATCAATAAACTTGGGTGCCACCAAGGGATGCGGTAACCTTGCCCCTGGAATAGTGTGGTGATGCGGTCTGGGAAGCCTCCAGCAAACTTAATTAGACTAAACAACAGGAAAGCGAAATAATATCCCCCTTTCCCCTATAATTTATGAAACAGAAAGTAACAAAAAGCTTACCTTGCCATTAAACGGAGCCTTAAAAATTACTATGCCAAAAAGCGCGGCAAACTGTAAAAGCAAAAATTAAACGATATTAATGCAAAATAAATTGTTACGGCTCTTGAAGCCGACACAGCATGTTCGGTTAATACTGACCAAAAATGTAAACTTCTTTTAATTAATTATGCGGCCTGCTAACGGCCTAAAAAACTATGATTTGTCACAAAATTCAAATTAATTAAGGGCGTTTTTTTTGAGACCCCCTCACGACTTCATCAGAAGTGTACTGCAACACAGCACAATAATTTAGCTACTGTTAATGGCACTTACTTAATTAGCCGGCACCTCTATTACTACTTTTTTGTTTGATATTTTACAGTTAGTAAAGACTAAAGCAAAAAATCCAAAAGTTACTATTATAAAATATGAAGGAATCTGGTGATAAAATGTGAACTTATGGCGCTGATGGTGTTCGCTTTTTGGTCCTTAATATTATTGTCGTATTTTTGAAAGATGTGCCCTCATCTCATTCTCAAGGGTCTTTCTCTCTTCTTTGTTGAAGTGAGTACTTCTTATTGCTCGGTTTGCACTATGGGGATTTACGATAATTCAACCGGTTAAACCGAGTTGGTAGATTTTGCTATGGTTACAATTATTGCCACAATTGTTTCTATGGTGATTTCTACCAATCCGGTTAAAACGGTTGAATTATCGTAAATCCCCTCTATGTTTTGGATGGGAATAAAATCAACTTATGCGTAACGCCACAGAATATAGCGTACGAGTCTATATTCTGTGGTCGTCACGCGTAACGCATACCTCACAATTGTTTAAAACACATTTCTCTATTTAAAAGAAAATATAGCATTAAAACCGTCGACGTGTCTTCAAAATTGACTAATATACAGATTAAATCGTATAGATTCGGATTAAACATGCATTAAGATTATTGTTCATTATACGTATTAGTTTGTCGCTTACAAACGTTATTTTAGTTATTAAGGTATCAAGGGCGTTATGAACTAAATAACGCCCCAGGTCAACAGTGTAGAACCCGAGGGCCTTCGGCCCGAGGGTTATACGTTGACCGTGGGCGTTGTGTTCATAACGCCCGTGGTGCCTTCAACGTTTTATGTCATACTTGATGATTTTCCAAGAATTAGCGGTGCCAGATGATTAAAAGAGAAGATAATGAGAATCATCAAAATTAAGTTATCCATGGTCGTAACCGAGGTCGTAACTATGGAGATAGATATTATATTTGTCAAAGTCAAACATTCTAAAAACTGTCTGAAAAATGACAGACGAAGCGTCTCATTTACCGGCACACGTTCTTGCGCGAGCCGCAAAAGCGAATGAAGCCATAGTGCCACAAAAATCGAAATCCTCTTATGAAAAAGAGTACGCTATTTTTGCAAAATGGATGGTGAGTAATTCTGTGGAGACAATAAACGAAACCGTTATATTGGGTTACTTCCAAGAGTCGGTATGTTTAAGTAATTTTATTAGTCATTAAACGGAAAGGTGATTTACACTCAGAGTCATTTTCTCCCAATTCGCTTTGGACGAAATTTTCAATGCTATACGTATAAAGAGTTAATGGTAAAGAAGAAGATTAAGAGTTTCGAAAAATTTGTGCATCTACAAAGGGTATTTAAAACAAGTTCAGGAAAGCTATCGTCCAAAAAAATCAAAAATCCTTACTTGCGAACAGATAGTCGCCTTCCTTACAGAAGCACCTGATCCGCAGTATCTGATCTACAAAGAGGAAAGAAAATGTATGGGTCTGGGCCAAGCTGGTGCGGTGTTCCCTGGACAGTCCCAGAATTGTTCTTTTTTACTTCAAAATAACAGTAGGATAATGCGACATCAACACAGTTCGTTTTATTCAGTTGTTGAAAATAAAAAGTGTGTACAGATTCATTATTCCATATTTATAGGATTTACAGAAATAACGCCCTTGGGCGTTATAGAAATAACGCCCGTTGCTACGTATAATTGGGGTTGTCATGGTGGAGTGCATTATTTGTCATTTAATGTATCTTGATTTAGGATTATTATAACTGAATAATAATCAAGTATGACATAAAATATTTAATAGGCCGAAGCATGGCGCAATTGCAAGGCCGCCACTTTTCGATTATGATGACATGAAATTTTGTTTGCAAAACTGGAAAGGACATACCCCAAAACCCATTCAATGACGTGTCACTAGTCTTTCTAACTCTTATATATTTCTGACAAAAAAATTAAAGAGGAAATGTAAATTTCATTTTTTTAGGGTGGCTTCCAAACGAAACACGTTGGAACCTTTGGAAAAAGTGCTTGTTTCGATCCCCTCTACCACCCAATTTTTTTTCATCCTTATATGTGACACCCTGTATATTAAGATCTTATATATCAAGATTAGTGGAAACAACAGGTGCAACAGCGCACATCCACAGAATGAACAATTTCGCTATTCGTGCATGTTTTAAATTACTTTCGTAAGTATTCGAGTGAAAAGAATATAATTATGTATTAGGTACTTCATTGACCAACGTAATATACATAAAAAAGAAAATTTATCTTCAAAAATTGATATGAACTCAAAAAGCCAGATGAATTCGCACATAAAAACGTGTTTCATACAAATTACTGTGGAGAACGCTTTTCCAAATACAAAAACATAGCAAAAGCAATTCCCTGTACAAACTTATAAACCTCGCCCATATATATTCGTTAATTAGTAATTTTCACCCTGCCTTTTCTTTCTTTAGA